TTGATTATAGGAATTATTCTTTCTTTGATTTTCTTCCTATTTAGTATCTACAAGGCTGTATGATTTTCTTCCTTTTTTGTATCTGCAAGGCTATATGATTTTCTTCCTTTTTTGTATCTGCAAGGCTGTATGRYTTTCTTCCWTTTTAGTATCTACAAGGTTGTATATATATGTACTACTTTCTCAATAGAAAGACATCAATTTCTTCTAATTCTTGTTCTATCACAATTAACAAATTCATTTATGTTTAGTGTCTAATTAAGGATCTCTTGATGGATTAATCATTACAATAATAGAGGCCAGTCTCACTTCTCATGAGCTTTCAATAAGTTGTAATTCCCTTTCTAAGATGTAAGATGAGACACCATTTATTTCAATTCTTTATTATGATGAAGTTCAAAAAATAATCCTCTGTATGTAAATTATTTGGCTGGTTTTATCTAGCCATAGGTTTAATTTGAAAGCTGCCAACCAGATGTATTGGCAACTAATTTATTGCCTATTTGTTCATTTTCTAAGTGTTTTTGACATTTTAAATGATAAAGAGGGAATAAAATATTTCGACATCAAATATCAGTTACTTAGAAGTTGGATTATGGGGGGTGATGATGCTCCTATTGAACTGTACCTGTCAGTACACATGCGTATGTGTATGGAATTTCGTATATGAAAATGTGCTTGCACTTGCACTTGCAGATCATCAATAAAGTGAACGTGAGACATTTCCTTTATGCTGAATAGAAACTGTAGATATACAAACATGGGATCTAAACTTTCTACTGTGCTATGTTCTTTTTCTGATTTAATAACCTTCTTTGATCCATTAATGATCAGAAAATAATTTAGAAGTAAGAATTTTAGCAATTGGATTAGTACTTTAGTTGGACCATGGTTTTAACCGTAGGAATTCCCAAAGGTAATTATGTTAAAATGACAATCCAAATTTGGAATGGAACATAATGATCATTAAAAATACGTTTTTTTTTTTAAATATTGCAATAGGTCATTAGAACATTATCAATGGTGCCTTTACAGTATTTATTGATGGCAAGTATTTGCATTGATTTTATTTAAATATCATCATCATCATCACCCAATCCTTACCCCAACTATATGGGGTCGGCTACATGAATCCTGTTTCCACCAATCAGTTCTGATTTTTATTTAAATAACATATCTTCTTGAATTCACAATTGCTAACCTTTTTGCAATCCATTCATTTGTGCTGGAAATCTTGCAAAATCTACTTCCTTTTGGTACCAATAATTTTTTTTCGTATTTCCATGTACATGCCGGTATTCATGTAAAAATCTATGGGTGTAAAGTTTGCACCCTTGAGTAATAGCAAGTGTGATGGTCACTGGAACCTAAGGGATTCCTGCAATCAAATGCATTATTATGTAATAACATTGCATGTGGGCAAAGTTTTCTCTTAGACACAGTGCCTTAAGTAATTTCAGTTACTTGAATTCTTTTCTTATTTATATTTCCTATAATTAGCCTTTTTTCATATGGTCAATGAATGAGAAGCAAGAACTTTCATGTTTTGCAGGATTTATTTTGATTGGTTTATATTATTCTGAAGGATTTAGAAAAAAAAGAACATGCTGTTGCTAAAAATAGTATATCATTAGAAAACATGAATAGTCACCTTTCACTCAACTCAGATTCTTTGATATTTCAGTTTTTAAGTAATACCTGAGCAGCAAAGTGCCTGTGTCCAGGAGATAATGTACTAGAAGCTCGGCCCATTGATCTCTCAAGCATAATTCGCATAGACTTCTCTTGCTGCAAACGCAGTTGTAGCTGTTCAATCTGTAAGGTCATGCATCATTTATTTCAGAATGTACCGGTATTGTACAAATTTGTGGTACAGTTGAAATTATATGACAAATAATTTAACGAAAGCATAGATACTGCATTTAAACTTAAAAAAATGATGATATGATAAAAGAAGTTATTGGGTTTAATACAGTAGATGAAGGAAATCATTGGTCCTAGATATAGTTGAAAGTAATATGGTATTCAAATATGTTGAAATATTCAGCAGTTTTTTGTTTCCTTTTTATTTATCATTATTAGTTAGTGTTACTGGGCCGAAGGCCCATTAGCTTATGTTACTTTTAAAGTCTGTTTTAATGTTATTAGCAGCAGCCGCCCTATTAAGGGCATATTAGTCATTGTAATGTATTTTATTTGGTAAGTATATAAGACAATGAGTGGGGCGGCCAGATCATTATCGGCTTCTCCCATCTCTTTTTATCTTTCTCCTCTTCTCTTTTCTTCTCTTCAAGAAACTCCTTTCTTTCTCTCTTTCTACCACTACTATCAAATCGGGTTGCAGATCTGAGTTTTCTACTAGATAGCTATCAATTGTGAACAAGATTGTAATAAAACTTGTACATAATATGTTACTCTCTTATTGTTCTATTGTATTAACATGCTTAAGTTATATATTCTTGAAGAAAACTGAAGAGAGGAGAGCTTGAGAGTTCGGCAATGAGGGTTTGAGAATGAGAGTTTCGAACCTACTCTTTCTCAGCACCCTAACACTATTTTATTAAGATAGATTTGAATAATTACAAGGAGGCACTTAATGGGCAAGAATTTACAAAGAACTTAATATAGACAGAATGGGCCCAGAATAAGGCCCATTACAGAAAAACATAAATAACAAGAAAGAATAAACAGCCTATGGGCCATTCGGCCCATCTTCTCTACACTCCCCCTCAAGCTGAGAATAGATGTCAATCATGCCAAGCTTGCTGGTATCATG